TGGGCCCGGCCCCCCCCTTGGCCACTGTGCACAGGGGCTGCTCTGGCAGCAGCACCTGTTCACATTGGACAGGGCTGTCTGCCACAAACTGGGGCTGCTGGACTCAGCACAAGCTGGGACCGAGCAGTCCCAGCTCATGCTGATCGCTGCATCTTTGAATCTTAAATGTAGCAAGAGCCCAGCGGCTCTTATTATATTTAAAATGCAGAGCCGCAGCAGGGTTGACTCTGGAGCTGGCACTAACCACAACCGCTCAGTCCCGGCTCGAGTTGGCTCTACAGAGCCCCAGCAGGGGTAGCTCCAGAGGAGGCGCTTTCTGACTAATCATATAGGCAATACAAATTGTATCAACTATACGATTAGCCAGATAATTGTATTTGAACATCTCTAGTAAATACAACTGAAACATGTCACGGCATAGCTTCAAAAGAGCACCGCCTGGGTTACCGCCTCGGGGCGGGATCTGGCAGTTCAGTCACTATCAGTGTTGGGGAATCAGACAGTTGTATCAGTGTTGCTCACCACTTAGCGAATGCTGGTCAGCGACCTGCAACAACTGTTCTGCCATGTTACAAGCCATGAATAATTTGGAAGGAGGTTTTTAACAAGATTGTAAAAGGAGAAATACAAGTACTTATAAGATTCAGATTGTGTATTTACTGTCAACTGAAGTAATAGTAAAGCCCTGATTTTCAAACACCTGACTGCCATGTTAACAAATACCACTTCACATACATGTTTCTTTCTGTTCTAATTGCAATCATGTTCGATAATAGAAATTATGGTTTTCTGTTTCATTTTTAAATAGTTTTAAGTGAATGTTGAAATAATAAAAAAATTACCAGACTTATGCTACTATGATGTGATTGCATGCGTAGTAGCTCACCAGAAAAGGTTTCAATAGATAGAGCTACATGTGCTATTGTCGCTGCCACTGCAAATTCATAGTTTGTCTATTTCTATGCATTATTTACTCCACATTTAATCATTCTTAGTAATCATTTTCGTTCATTTATTTCTTAGTTTAACATAAATAGTATTCTGTTTTCCTACCATTATTCTTTATTTTGATAATTTATTTGAAACTTTAAAGTGTGAACTACTGGGTGGTTTTAGCCTATACAGTGTAACAACTGTTTTAGGATTAAATGACAAGTAGAAAAAATAAAAATATTTATTTTTTATTTTACATTGTTCATTTTTAGTGCCAAGTAAATTAAGGTAAAATTTCATTCTAGTCTCCTCATTTTTCTCTATTTTGAATGGGACAGAGGGCATCAAAGTCAGTTTGCCTAGGGTGCTAAAAACCCTTCATCAAGCCGTGATTTTATGGTCCACAGAAAATGCACTATTGGATCAGACTAGTGATCCTCCTAGTTCAGTATCCTTTCTCTAGCAGTAACAAGTACCCCAGGGTCCAGAAAAAGGTTCAAGAAATCTCAATTATGGAGCAATTTGTCACAAGAGAAGTTTCTTTCTAATTCCCCTCAGTTAGTGTCTGACTTATTCTGGGGGTATGTGGGGTTATATCCCTTCTACGTTCAAAAATGAGGAATAAGACTGCAGACAGACTGACATCTGACGTGACCACTAAAGCAACAAATCCAAAACAGAATATGTCCACTTGAGTTATTTAGCATGAGTATATAAACAGACAGCATCTATAGATTGTTTAGGTTCATATTAAGTTGTATATTTGTAACTAAAACAACATCTCAACAATTCTCCTAGGCATAACCCTACACAGAATCATAGGGCTGGAAGAGATCACAGGAGGTCATCGAGTCCAACCCCCTGGCCAAAGCAGGACCAACCCCAACTAAATCACCCTAGTCAGGGCTTTATCAAGCCAGGACTTAAAAACCTCTAAGGGTGGAGATTCCACCACTTCCCCAGGGAACCCATTCCAGTACTTCACCACCTCATAGGGAAATAGTTTTTCCCAATATCAAACCTAGACCTCCCCCATTGTATCTTGAGACTATTGCTCCTTGAACAGCCTCTCTCCATCCTCTTTGGAACCCCTTCAGGTAGCTCAAGGCTGCTATCAAATCCCGACCCCCTTCCCCCCCTCCCCACTCCACCCCGGCCCCACACACACACACTCACTCTTCTGCTGACTAAATAAGCCCAAATCCCTCAGCCTCTCCTTGTAGGTCTTGTGTTCCAGCCCCCTAATCATTTTGGTTGCCCTCTGCTGGATCCTCTCCAATGTGTCTATATCCTTTCTGTATTTGGAGGGTGCAGAATTGGACACAGTACTACAGACATGCAGGAAGAATGACTCAAAGGTGAGTGAGATTAGATATTTATGAGAATGTCAGTTTAGCATCAAAATGAAGAGAAGTATTAGACAGGAAAAGCAGGAAGCTATCAATAAACAAGACAACTCCAACTCTTCTCCATGACAGATATTTTCTAAAAAGATTTACACTTTCACAATGTTGTGATTAATTTTTTTAAACACTAGGTGCAAGCCATGTTAATTAAGTCTCAGCATGTTTTTCTTCAAATGCAAGATGCCGACTAACAAAACTTCTGCAAAAGTATTTTTGCTTAACTTTCATCACGAAAGATTCAGATTACTTTGGGGGAAAATTAGATTTTAAATAATCATCTTTGTACCATTTATTTCAGTTCTGTTTTACTAAATGCAAATTTGGTCACTACTAGAACATTATATTCTTAATAGGCTCCTCTTCTTTTCAGGATGACATACCTGTCAATGGCTACTACTTTTGCAGCAGCTGAAACACAAAATTCCTAATCACTTGATTACGGTGGCTACAAAACCAAG